GAAACGTGCTCCCCTGTGGAACCTATGGGGCTCACTCCGTGTCACCGAGAGGCCTTCACCTACCACCCTCCACGATGACACGCTTCACATCTACCTCGCCCAGACCGAGCATCTCCTATAGACATCCCCTGTGGTGTTTTCCTCATCTGACACATCATATGTGGTATTTTATTATTTCGTGATCAGCCTCCTTCCATTAGAATATAAGTGTGGTAGTATTAAGGGCTTAGTGTATCATACCCCAAAGGCCTAGAACAATTCTGGGCACATAGCTACATTCAGCCAATATTTTATCTTTATTTATTTACTTATTTCGATCTTTTTGAGACAGGGTTTCTGTATGCAGTTCAGGCTGGCTTTGAACTCACTTTGTAGCCCAGACTGACCTCGAACTTTCAGTGATCTGCCTGCCTCAGCCTCCCTAGAGCTGGGATTACAGGTGTGTGCCACTACTCCTGGCATCAGTCAATATTGTAGAAGGAAAGGTGGATGGACTTGGGGGCATGCCTGGACTGTTCTGGACACTGTGTTAGACATCATATTTGTCCAGCTGGAAGCAAAGCCACATGTGTTCAAAGTGGCAGCCCTGAGTTTGGCTGGGTAGCCATGGTGCTCAAAAACCAGAATGTCACAATAGCATGTATTGAGGTGGTAAGAGTGGTGGGAATACTGGGCCTGAGAAAGGGGGCCCTGGGGTCTCCAGAACTGGCTGTGAGGGGCTGGGGATATAGCTCAGCAGCACAGCACCTGCCTGGCGAGCACAAGATCCTGAGTTCAATTCTCAGTGCCCAAAACAAACAAACAGACAAACAGAACTGGCTGTGATAATGGCTGAGGCTGGTTCTAGCGTGGAGCATGGAGGCCAAGCAGTCAAAGATGAACGGCAGCTTCCCTGCGGCATGTGGGTGCAGCAGAGTATGTCTAGATTGGTGCTGACTGTCATCTAGGACAAGTTCACAGTGATGAAGCCCTGTCACACAAGTTGATCAGGACACACTGTAAAGAAAGAATGTTATGAAGGATGATTTCTAAGCCAGTCCCCTCCTTGAACATGGTCAAACACTGTCTCCAGAGCTGGGGATAAGATTGTGGAAGAAACAGACTAGCACTGGGCTCTCAGGAAGCTCATCTCAGAATGGAAAGAGACAGCACGTTATGTGAAATCTAAAAGGTCACATGTAAGAGAGCAAGGAGGAAGGGGGAATAAGGCACAGGAAGGGCCAGACTGCAGGCAGGTGGTGACGAGGGTGGAGCTCACCTGGGAGCACCACAGTGGGAACTGGAGGAAAGCATGGCAATGGCTCAGGGAGCTTCGGGGCAAGTCCAGAGGCCAGGTGGCGGAACATGCATGTGCAAGGAGTGTACATGGTGGTCTGAAAGTGTGTGCTGCATGAACAACAAAGACCCAGGCAGTCAGCTGTGGGCCTGACACTGCTTTCAGCACTTGGATGTATTAGAGAATAAAAAAGCAGGAACACCTGCCCCACTGGAGCTTCTCTCCTGAAGAGCGATCTTCCTCGTAAAATACGATCATGTAGAGTGTTAGAAAGGAGCAGGTGCTAGGGACAAGGAGGGGTCAGGTAAGGGCATCAGAAGAGCAGGATGACCGGTGTGTGAGCATTAGGAGGAGTCAGAACCATTAGCACAGAGAAACAGATCAAAAATGTCTCCTAAGAGAGTCATGTGTTCACAAGTGGGGTTCTGGGAAAGTGGTTAGATCATAGGGTGCTGGCATAAATGGATTAATCCATTAATACGCTGTCGGGAGGTGGGGCTTGGGTGGAGACTGTAGGTTAAAGGGAGCATAACCTGGAAGGGTATGTCTGTGCCCTCTGTCTCTGTCTCTGTCACTGTCTCTGCCTCTGTCTCTCTCTCTGTCTATGTCTGTGCCCTCTGTCTCTGTCTCTGTCGTCTCTGTCTCTGTCTGTCCCTCTCTTTCTCTCCTCTACTCCCTGGCCAGATAAATCAGTGTCAAGAACAGTTTCTAGAAAGATGAGGACCAGAAGTTTCCATTGAATTTAACAGCAAGTTTTTCACTGCTGAGTGGTAAGGCAAGTTCTATGCAGGTGAGGGCGAAAGTCCGTAGAACAACATCCCAATAAATAGGAAGAGATAAATGGAGACGGCAGTATGAAGCTCTCTCTCTCAAGTCACTGCTATAGAAGGAAGAGTAAAGTGAGGTGGTGGTTGGTGAGGAAAGAGGATCAGGACAAATTATTTTCTTTTCTTCAGTGAGAGAAACAGAACATGCTTGTGGGATGACGGGAACGATCCAGTTAAACTTGCAATTTTGAGAATGCAAGAGAGAAAGAAGAGATGCAAAGCCTTGGGTGGGCAAGGAGGAGAGTGCCCAGTGCACAGGTAGAGATTGGCTTCAGGGAGCAGCACAGGTGGCTCACAAGGAGGGAGCCCGGGGGAGGCTACAAAGTGGTCCAGAGACAGCAGAGTGTGCATAGTGCAGGGGCTGGGTAGGGTGTCTTTCAAGCATCGTTCTAAGTGAGTAGGAAGCTCCCACCTGAGAATGAGGGTGAGGGATGAAGTGTTAGGTATCTACAGAGAAAAGAAGAAATGAAATGGTCTTGGAAATTAAAGATAGGGGGCAGCTGCCAGGCTGCACCAGGAATTTATTAGTGGTTTGTGGTTATGAATTTGAGTCAGACCGCTCGGCACAGTTCTGTGGTTTGTCTCAAGCCATGTTTCCACATGGATGCAAGCGGGAGGTAGGTGGAAAGGAAGTCAGGCTTCACCTGGAACGCTGTTTTGCCAAGCAAGGGCAGAAATGAGAGAAAACAGGAGTTGAGGAAGTATACAGGAAGTGGTTAAAACTGGTCCTGGAGTTTAAGCAGGAAGAAGGAAAATGAGGCACAAAAGTTTCAGGGACAGTGCCTATGTTAGGATCAATGGGTTGCACACCCCACTGTTAGACCTGGACGTAGAGTGAGTGCACTGGAAAGACTGGAGGAGCAGCATCGGAAACTGAGGGTCAGAGTGGGGTGGAGACTGTTCCAGTTATTACTAATGACGAAGAGAAGGACACCACCTTGCCCGGCGGTGGCTGACACTCAGTGAAGGCAGGAGCAGGGGAAGGCAGGAAGTTACGGGGAAGAGAAACCAGTAGACAAGAAGGGTTATTCACAATTGGTATTAGAATAACCAAGAACAATGCAAAGGATAGTACAGAAGAGAGTGATAGTGCGCAAGACGCCAAATTCTCCATTTGGAATCTTCTGTAAAAATATAAGATATAAGGATTGTTTGGCTCATGAAAGGCCTTTGTTTGCCTGTGAGAGGGTCTCAAACCATTTTCTTCTCAAGGAACATGTATGATTATTTTGTTTGCGTAGTTTAACAACATCTTACATGGACTGGCCATGTCTTTACTCGGAAAAGTGCTGTCCCATCTGCAGGGAGATATGGCTTCCTGATGGAACCAGGCCACCAGGAATTTGGCCTCTTGCTGTCTTTCTCATTTCTCTCTCTGCAGAAAAAAAGTGATTGGGGGATTATTAAATATACCCACAAGTAACCTTAACAACAACCTTTCTAAAGGCATAAAAGAAATCCCAACTGCATGGAAATCATCTATGTGTCTATAGAAAAATTCAGTATTGTGAAGATACCCCAAAACTGAACCCTGAAATTCAACATCTAATCAGAATCTCAGTGAGATTGTTTTAGAGCTTAAAAAGTTGATTCTGATATGCATTTGGGGGACCAAATATGTGATAGTGGCCAAGAAAATACTGAAAGAATAAAACAGGGAGGGAGGATTTCAATTTTAGACATCAAACTATGTTGTTAAGTTACAGGAAATAAATGCAGCAAAATGCTGGTACAAAGAAGAACCATGCAGATTATACAGCGGCAGTCCTCCGTGTACACAGAAAAAGAGTATTTGATAACATTGATATTTCAAATGTGGGGGACAGTCTAACAAGTAACTGTCAGCTGTTCATTTAAGGAAAACAAATTGTGCATCAGACAGTATATAAAATAAATTCTAGGTAGAGCAAAGGCCTAAATATTTTCAAAATAGATACTAAAAGAAAAGAGAGGAGAATACCTTCATAATAATGGGGGTAGAAAAAATCTTTGCAAAGCAAGAGGTGTAAAGCCGGGAAGTGAGAAATAGATTTCAATGCTTGAGGAACTATATGAAAGAAGGATGTTTTCATACAGTACAAGATTAAGGTGTACGGGCTTCCAGGACAGGCGAAATGTGTTTATTTACAGTTTTGAATGCCATTATCTAAAAGAAGAGTATGCTGTGTACAGCAGTGTATACAGAGTGAATTAAAAGATCATATACGTGTATTTATGAATGAAAACAAAATATACATATATAGGAATACAAAAATTAGCAAAATATATCCTATTACACTTAAACAGTTTTTAGAAGCAAACAGCATCCTTCTCTTTGAACTTTGTAGATGCCAGAAAAAAGAAGAAAACATCTATTACAGGCTTGGTCCTGTCTATAACATAATTATATTAATGTGTTTAAAAGATACAGAATTTGAATACTGAGCCATGAAAGAAATGTGTCTAGTAGATTCTTCCTGTTTGGGGAAATACAAGAATGAACATGGCTGAGATAAACCAACAAATTATTTCTCAAATTCATTGTAGCTGCATAATGTCCAACAAGCCCTGTGAGTACCGTGTTCATAATTCCCACCTCTGGCACCCTCTCGGTCTCTTCACTGGTTTTTCATGAGAAATCTGACCGAAATAGGCATTTTGTGATTTTTGTGCACAGTACTGAGAGGTTTAAGAGGTTACTGGGAAAAGTCACACTACTCAGTACCTTCCCCTTGTCCCCTCTGCCTGCTACCAATCCCGCCGGGCTTCGTCAGGGAAGCTGCTCCTCCAGCTCTGGTTATGGCACAAGCCAATGACACCCAAACCCTTGGAGCCGAACATCCACCCAAAGTGGGGGACTGCAGCAGTTCCCTCCAAAAAAAAAGACCCGGCCTAAGAGAAATGTAAAACCCCTCAACTCATATGCTGGTTAGGGGGAGCCGCCCCACTCCATCTTCCTTCTTCCCTTCTGATGAAAGAGATGCACGGCCACTTCAGGGAAGCCCCCTCCCCTCCGCCAGGCTGGTAAGACAGCATTTCCCCTTTGCCAGGTTGGCAGAGTATTTCACAGAAGGTTCATTGGCCCAGACAGCTCCTTGCAGTCCCTCTCAGCTTCCACATGGGTTTTTAAATAAGCTCCTTATTTTAATCATGAATCAGCATTGTGGAAGTAGACCATTGAAGGAAGAGAACTGGAAATCACTTCCCATGCAGCCGACGTCAACAACTGTCTATTTCTACAACTGTTCTATGAGTAGGGTGTGACATAAAGGACACTTATTAGCGCCTCCGTCCATCCCAAATGTTGTTCTTGACATCCCATCTGAAGAAGGTGTTCTGTGTTTATGTTCTTTCTTTCAGTCCCTTGGAAGCTGACAAGTGCCTGATCCTCTATGGCGATGACCAGGTAGGCATGAGGTGCCACTGAGTCAGGGGCCAGAAGACCATCTGCTGTCCTTTCTGGAAGTGTAGGAAGCAGGGGCAGGGGTATCTGTGTCTCTAAGCTGAGGTGGAACAAGAGGAAGCAGACAAGGAAATGCAGCTTGAGGAGAGCAAAACCTCCACAGATAACGTGTGTGCAAAGTTCACCTGTGTGCCTGGCGCACTTAGGGCCCGCTTCATCTCACCAGGCTTCCAAAGGTGGATGATCTTTGCCATTTGTGAGTGTGGGGAAACTGAGGCACGGAACGCTTACGGAAGTTGCCCGAGGTGGCAGAGCTTGGATATGAACCCAAGCAAGCCGACCTGAGTGTATACGGTCATTCCCGGGCTTTGCTGATTTGCAAATAAACAAGGGAAATGGTCTGGGTAAATAAACGTGTGTGGGAACGGGCCTGGGAGTGGAGCAGTCACTCTGAGAGCATCGAAATCCGAGTGCGGGAGGAAAATGACAGCCCAGACTTCCTTCTGGCTTGCAGGAAAGGTTCACGTTCACCAGGCCAGGACGGGAAGAGTCCTTTCTCTGTATTTTGCTTTAGAATTAGAAATAAGGCTTAAATGCAAATTTCCCCGGGAGAGTGGACAGAGTGATGTCAACACAATTGAAGTCCAGGGATTCGACAGCCGAAGGTCCTTCTGGAGAGCAGATGTGGACAGCGCAGGGACTGGAAGGCCCCGGATTCTTGATTCGAGGAGGAAAGAAGGCAGCCCACGCTGGATGGGGGTGGGGGTGGTGAGGGAAAGGTCCAACATTGCCAGCCCTAGGGGGCGCCGTGCACACAGCGTGCGACCCGAACGGTGCCCTGGATGTGGGCCACGCAGCCTCCAGGCTGGAATCACAGCCGTGGACCCTGGCTCAGAAACAAGGCTGCACAGGAAAGCTCGTCTTGGTCCACCGTGCCCTGTGCCTGCCAGCCCTGTAAATGGGGCTGCCTGGCGCTCGTCTCGTCCTGGCTGCTGTCCTGGCTGCGGTCCAGCCTGGGGACTGCCCTCCTGCAAACGCCAGCCAGGACAGCCAGGCAGGGCCGGCGACACTGCCTGTTCATTAGAATGCAGGTTCACTGGTAAGAATGCAAATGGCTCATTTCACTTTCTCCTCCTGACACACCGTGCCGCTGGCAGTAGCGGGCTGCTCCCTGCACCTGTCACCGCGGCTGTTCCGTGCACTCTGCGTAAAGGGCTAGCCACCCTTCAGGTGTATATATAGCAACCGTCGTTATAGCCCGAGCGGTAGAGACCCGATCATCCACTGCCCTCTAGTGGGGTCCGTGGGAACGAGACAGCTTGCGTAGTGCCGCTGTCAGGATCCGAGCGAATCAGGGTTGCGTTTTATTTCAGGAATAGTTTTGCAGCTTCTGCTGCTTTCATCTTTCTCGCTAGTATCTGTGGTTCTTGATTAACAGCCCTGAAATGGGACAAAATGTCAATCAAGGGTGACTCTTTGTGGAGCTACATGTGAGTGTTAAAAAGTCACGACATTTTCAAACAGTATGTAAGGTCTCATTTGATACTCATTTTTAACATCTCTCTCTTTTTTTGGCTAGGGAAAGGCTCGAAGCGCATATAGCATTAAAGAGCTCGGGGTTGCCATTTAACACAGCCTCAGGTTATTTGTGAGAGAGAAGCAGTCTCTCTACAAGGCAGCAGCACCAGCTCTGCCTGCCTTGGCACCTACCTAATCTGTCACTCAGCTGTGCTTTGGCAGCTTTCAAGGTTTGCAGTTTTCACACTTGATTGGCATGTGCGTTAGTCAGCTTTTCATCCCTGTGATAAAATACCCGAGAAAACCAGTTTGAAAGAGGAAAGGTGTATTTTGGCTTCTGGGTTCAGTCCACGGCTGGCAGGCCCCTTGGCTGTGGGCTTGAGGTGGGGGAGAATATCTTGTTGGAAAGGGGTGGTAGAGCAGAGCTGCTCTCCTTGTGGCAGCTGGAAAACAGAGCAAGAGGGAAAGAGCTAGAGCAAAAAGGTTGGGAGAAGATATACTCTCCACGGTCAACCCCCGGTAACGGCTTCCTTCACCTGGGCCGCATCTCCTGGTTCCATTATCTCCCGGTAACGCTGTCGCATTATGACCTCATCAGTGGTTTAATCCACAGATGAAGGTAGAGTCCTCATGACCAAATTGCCTTTTTGAAATCCCCACCTATGAACACATGAAATATGGGGGGACATTTTAGAACTGTAACGTCATGTATCTCTGGAATCGGGGACTTAGTCATGCTCAGCACAAAGGAAGACACATTTGTGACCTGCTAAGAAAGACCAGGGAACCTTGTTCATCACCGCTACTTCAAAGGCTGCTTTGATGAGGAACGACGGTCCCTGTAGCATCTTTAGATTGCTGTACTGAGTGCAGGACCCTGCATGTAAAGGTCTTTCAGTGATATTCATCGTGTTCATTTAGTATATTAAGAAAGCCCTTTCCTAAGAAGGTTAATACATAGCATTAATACATAACATTTATACCCTCTCTGAGCCATTTCCCCATTTTCAGCTCTTGAACTGATCCTAGGGTCCGATGGATTTTTCTCTCCTTTTAGCAAATCTGTGGATTGGAGTAACTCTCCTTATGCAGACTGGACTCTTGCTACCAAGATTTCCATGATAATGCCAAGCACGCCTTAAGGCAGCCCTCACACTACAGACCATGTTTTCATCTGTACATGTAGAATGGTGCTAGTTATGGTATGTACCACCTTTGGGACACCGTGCACACAACGTGCACATCTTTGGGACACCGTGCACACCTTTGGGACAATTGCAAAGCAGTCTTTCAGATTATGTTCTGAGCTTAGTGGTTCAGATAAGGAAATCAGGCTCAGAATAGTCACAAAACAAGCAAGGCAGGTGAGGAGCTAATAACATGTACACACACACACACACACACACACACACGCACGCACACACACACCATAGGACAGCCCTGTTCAGGTAATTCATTTATTTCAGCCTGACTGGGGCAACTTAGTCCTGATGATAGGAAACTTCCAGGAGAGGAATATTTTGGTGAGAAGCCTTTGGTGTATTGACACAGAGCAGACCTCAGATTTTTCCACTCTGTGTAAACAGAAACTGCTATAAGTAAAGTACTTCAGAATTCTTCCTGAGAAAACTGTAGTTTTCCACAGAACCTCACAGGAAGTGCTGCTGCTGATTCATTGGATTAAACTTTTCCTCCTGAGTCAGAAGTGAGAGGAATCTGAGGCTCAGTGTGGAGGGCAGCAGGCCTTTGCCTGCCCAGTGGGGTGCAGCAGAGGGTGGAACAGGGTTGCTCCCTTACTGAGCAGAGATGTCCAGTGCTGCTGAAGGCCGTGGGGAAATCCTCGCCCCTCACGCTTTTTCTTACAATAAGGAAAGCAAAATAGGCTGGGAGTACCACCCACTGGAGTAAAAACAGTCACCAGTCACCTTTTCTGTACATCTGCATTAGAGCTCAATGTAGTCCTCTGGCAGCCCATTTTGTTAGATCTGGGCCAGATGCCCTCCAATGGCTCCACGGAACCTGATCTAGTTTCAGTCAGTACTTGTATTTGTGGACTTTGAGACCTCAGAATGAAGTGGTCATCTGCTCTACCCGCCGCATCTACAACCAGTATCTTCAGTCCTGTGAAGATCTCAGGCCACAGCTGCATTAAGTTTTAAGAGTAGGGAGAAGGCAATGCAGAGAGAGGGGGCTGAAAGCTAAGAATATTTTTTTAATGTATTTTAGGAATTTTAAAACTAATCTAGGAAAATCAAAACAAAACACATGTAAAATGATTTCAAAGTACAAATTAAGAACCTCAAAGGATGCATCGGTATTTCCGCTCTGCAGCCTCGCACAGCTGCGTCATCCTGCTGAGATCACCTGCCTGGCCCGCGCACCTCGGGGATGTGAGAAGTGATACAGTAGGTAGTTCTGAACAGAGACAGGGCCACTGTTCCAAGCTGGCCTCCATTCAGCTGAGAAGCTGGCTTTCCTGGAGGCTTCCCGCACGCCGTGCCACTGCACCCACTCCAGCTGAGCTCTGGCCAAGCTGCCTTGTTGGCACATATAAGCATGTTTTATGGAAGGGTTTCAAAGCTGCTGCTGCTGCTATTGCTGCTGCGGTGGCCCTAACCTGGTCTTTCATGTCTCAGTCTAGACAGATGCATGATTGAATAAAGGATTCATCCAAGCCCTCTGTCACATTGGCCATCTGGAAAATAGCCAGCCACTCATTTAGCAAATTGCTCTGTTTAAATGCAGCTGCTGTGTCTCAGCGTTTATGCTACCAAGACGGATCTCATGATTCCTCTTCCTTCATTTATCTAAGCAGCTCCTCTCAATCTGCAGAGGAACTTTAAAAGGCTGTTAATGCATGACAAGGCACTTGACCCACATGATTTCCAAGCCAGGGGGGAGCATCCATCTTGTGCTGGGTCGTCTTTTCCTCAAAAGCAAGGGCACACTGCCTGTGCTCCCTGTCTTAATGAAGGCTGCCTTTATTAAGAATCGCATTAAGCTCCACAGTGCCCAGCCATCCAACATTGTAAATATTACCCTTTAGAAATGTACCCAGGGGCCTGGCTCAGGAAGCTGGCCCAGTAGCAAGTGCTCGCCCTGCAGTCAGGAAGCAATCTCAAATCTCTGTGGAGGGAGTGGTGTTGTTTGACAGGTTGGTGCCCCTCTCCGTTTGGAAAGATGGATTACAATCCTTAGCAGATAATGTCAACAAAGCCCCTGAGATGATTTGAATTAGAGTTGGAAGCAAAATGACTTCAGAATAACAATAAGCTTCTCAAGTGTTTTACCTGAGTTTTCTTTTCTCCAAAGGAAGGAATGGAAGAAAGGAGCCCACAGAGGCTAAGCACTTTATTATTGGAGGGATGTCACTGGTCACTTTGACCTGGTGCTGACTATCATCTTTTGTTTACCAGGGCAAATAATCCTGGTCACCACTACTTTTGTAAACTGCCTAACTCATTTGAGGTCATGGTATTATTAGG